GGCACGTAAGCACACACGTGGCACGTAAGCACACACGTGGCACGTAAGCACACACGTGCGTAACCCAACGCTCGTACGCGATCGCGCGTGGGCTCGTAGTGCGCGCATCGCAAATTGACGCCGCTGCCGAAAAGGCACACACGAGGCGCGAGACGAACCACCCACCAATTAACGCTCTGCCCTTTAATTGCAAACGACATCGCTCCTCCAACGAACGACGCGTCGACAGCGCGATGTATACGGCAGCGGTCCCCAACCTTTTTGGCACCAGAGACCGGTTTCGTGGAAGACAATTTTTTCACGGACCGGGGGGGGGGGGGGGGGTTCATCATTGGACCACGTGCGGACTCACCGCTCACCTCCTGCTGCTGTGCGGCCCGGTTCCTAACAGGACACGGACCGGTACCTGTCCGTGGCCCCGGGGGTTGCGGACCCCTTGGTGTACGGTACCGCACCGTTTGGCAAAAAATAAACGGCCACTCATGGTATCGTGTCGACCTCACCACGGTGGTTCGATAGGACGTTCTAAAAGCTGCCCCGGCTAATGGCTTTGTTGTGGACTCATCGCGGCTGGAGCAGAAGCATAGCCCTGGCGCGGAAAGCCTTGGCCAATGGGACGACCGAACACTTTGTACAGAGTGCAAGTGCGCGCCAGCGAACGAGCAAAGCAAGAGCGTTTCGAGTCTTGAATAAAGAAGACACACACACACAAACAAATCTGAAGTCGGCAGCCCTGCACATTTATTGCTCGCACCATTTCCAGAGAGAGGGCCTTCCATTAGACGGAGCTCCACTGAAAAGAGGTCCCTCTAGAGTAGTGGGTTCTTAACCTGGGGTGCACGCACCTCCTGAAGATGCCCTTTCTGAGAACCCAAGGGGTGTGCAGGCTGCAAGAAAAAGGTTAAGAAGCACTGCTCTAGAGGGTATTTTGGGTCTACTCTTCCACCCCTTTAGCCAGATGTCTTGCAAGGAGGTGCGAGTTCCCACATTTTACCTCACCACGCGCGCGCAACCTGCTGATCGACTTTGGTGTACCCATTTATACTGAAGGGGTGGACAGAGGCGGAAATGATTTTTGGAACGTGCCAATTGCTTAAACTCCTGCACCGGAAGATCGAGTCATACCGGTGACCTCTGCATTACAGGTCAAACTGTGCTTGCCGTCACACGCCACGGCAAGCAAGTCTTGAATACGGGCGACACCGACGCCCGAAGGTGGCAACGAGCCATCTTGCTCTCTTCAACAGCTTCGTGGCTTCCTTAGCACCACATCCTGACTGCCACCAACCAATCTTGTAAGGGATACGTTTAGCACCGGTCACCATTTCGCCGTGCGACTCACCACGCCCCCGTCGTCTTGCACACCTTTTAAAAAGCAACATCACACCTGCCTGGCTCTTTGAACACGAAGCCAAGGGTTGTGTGTGGGATGTGTGCACGTGTGTGCAAGGGCATTCTTTAACTGGCTGTGTGGCGTTGAAGACTATATAGGTGGGAGGGTGAACCTTCACAGCTTTGCACACTTATACATTAGATCCTGTAGAAGAAAACCAAATATCTACACCATTTGTGGGCACGTCTATTACACATTTGCAGCTACTGCAAGGGTCTGTTCCATTTTAAACGGTCCCACCGCGGGATTTACAGACGCCCCTTCGAGCCGGATTAAATAGCCGAAATCTCTCGCATTGGCCCAGGGCAAGGTGGCATTTGGAAAAGCCGCAAATGGATCCACCACAGACGCGTGGAAACTAGATTAGGATTTGTGTCAGCAGATGGATGTACAGCAAATGGGCCGCTTAACTTGTGAAATTCCGAGCAATTTCACCCCCCCCCCGTTAGCATAGTTTCTTTCTCAGAGATCTCTGCTTATTAACCCATAAGCAGACATTGCAGCGCTAAAAAATATATAGTACTGCCAAAACAGTCAAGAGCAGCATCCTCCTGAAAATAAGTCGCGTGTCAGCCGAGGCTTTTGGTGGCGAGACAAGGAAAAACTAGGATTAATTTATTAGTAGTTAAAATACATTTTTATTTCCACCCCGATCCCCCCCTCCGCCCCCCCCTCCCAGCAAATCTTTATTTTCCAGTGTTTTCAAGTAAACGCTTTGTATTTACTCTCCATTTCCCCGCAGCAAACCAACAAACATCCTCTGCGAACAATGTTTATCAAAAGGTTCACGTTGAACGGCATACAACTCTCCGTATACACTTGCGTTTATTATTATAATATAAGGAGGATGCGAGTGCGATTTCAAATCTCAATATTATATGGGTGTACTTAAAAAAAACGAAACTCGAATAAAGCGTTTGAAAAAAAAACGTGTGCCGGTTGTAATACTTGAACGTTTTAATATAAAACGGTCCTTTCTCCGCACGTGTAATTATGTAAGCGTTGTCCCTGGCCTCATTTTGACATTCAAATAACAGCTCACCACCGTCATTATCATCATCATTTGCACCATCACCACTGGAGTGCGACTCGCCGTCCGCCCCTTTTCCCTCCGCCGCTTTGTTGATTTTTTGCACAACAATCAAAATACCGCGTCGATAGACCCCGCCGTCTCGCCAAGTACCTGCACCGCCACCCTCGTCATCATTATCATCCTTCGAGAAGCAGCGGCAGCGAACAACAGTCAAGCGCACCAACATTTAATACAGAGCCAGACAAAATAAAATAGGAGTAGAAAATTCCCCAAAACCGTAAGCAGGGTTAGTTTCAAGGTAACGCGTTGCACGAGCGGTGCACATGAACACATTTTCACACACGCACACACAAAGATCCCTCCCGCGTAGCCTACACAGGCTGTTGGGGGCAAGTGCTGTTAGCGAGCACCTATTAAGGCCGACACACGGCGTGCACGAGGTGGGTGCGGCGAGCCCCACGCTCCGACTGCCGTGTCTCCCCCCCCCCCTCAGTGCCTGACGTTTGCGCCGTGGCACCAGGTGCTCATTTTTTGTAAGGCCGAGTCAACCTTGGGGGGGAGGTGGGGGGGGGGGGAGACGCACAGGGCCGGTTCGGGTAAATCGTCGCCACTTGTCAGCCCGCGGCCGAAAATTGTACGCGGGTCGCGGGGTTCGTAGCGCGGCGCGCTAACCGCTGCGCCGCCGCTCCCGCGACGCGCGCGCGCACACGCGACTATGATCTGCCTTCAAGAAGCGCGAGCGCTTGCATCGGGCGGCGACAACCGTCCCGCATTGGAAACGCCCTCCCGCGCGACAGGTGCGAGCGCACTGCCCCGCTTGGCGCTTGCGAATCCAACGCGACGCGACGCAGGCAACGGTCGCGCGTAGCCGGCGAGCCTAAGGCCACTTCGGTCCGCGGCTTTTTGTGGCAGCAGAGAAGCGCCGGCGACGTTACCCCGGGGGTGACCTCCACCCCCCTCGGCACGCCGAGCGTGACGCAGGCGACCCCAACCCGTCCTCCAGCTCCACACCTCGTCCTCCAGCTCCACACCTCGTCCTCCAGCTCCACACCTCGTCCTCCAGCTCCACACCTCGTCCTCCAGCTCCACACCTCGTCCTCCAGCTCCACACCTCGTCCTCCGACGTGGCAATGGTGTGGCAGCGGCGGCGTTGTGGTTGTCCGCCCCCCCCCCCTCTTCCCCCCCTCCCCCCTCCCCCCCCCCAGGTCGTTGATTCACATTTTTCAAAAGTTTCGATTGGTCGGCTTTTGTGTAGCCTCGCGTTTAGCGGCCAGCGTTAGGAACAGGGTGTCACAGGATGTAAGGGTTTTTGGTTGAGACATACCTGTCAACCCCTTATCAGTGTCTACATTATTACAGACCAATTCAGACCGAATTGGTCACCCCGTGCCCCTTATATACCTCAACGTTCATCCTACAAAGTCCCATCACAAGGGAGAAACACAAACAAAAACACAAAATAAAGTTTGCCCGTATTGAAACGGCTGTACGCTGTATGGACCTGAAAACTCAATTTCCCTTTACAAGAATATGGGGTAAACCGTATGGGTTGACAGGTATGTTGAGAGTGTGGATACCCGTTGGGCAGAGGTGCATTGTGACAAGTCACCACGGACTGAATACCCGCCGCGATTCGATGACTTGGTCGCAATCAGGCGTTGCGATCCTATTCACAAATAAATTCCTCGTTTTTTTTTCCCACCACCTCTGTTGTATCGTTTCTCAATTGTTCCGTCTCTCGTTTGCGACAATCCTGTCTCGCTCCACTTGCCTCAGTTTCTCCCCGGCGTTTGTCAAAAAAAAATGCGCGCTGGATCGTTTCTCTCCCATGCGGTCCCCCGCTGCATCTATCGCGAGGAAGAGAATCCGCATCGCGACACACATGCCTCACGTGTTGAGCTTGTGACCAGGCTTGCATTATTGCTTGGATTCGGCCTGGAGCTCGGCCCAGGACCTAAGTTACGACTAGAATTAGTCTGATTAGTAGGAGTGAGGGCTATTGTTATGGTTATGGCCAGAGTTCTGGTTTAGGGTTGGGTCCTCAGGACTACAGTAGTCAGGCTAAGTGCAGTACAGTTTCAGTCATGGTTCGGTCAAGGATTAGGATCACAAGATGAGAAAGAGACTAAGAGGCTACCGGTTATTGTTAAGGTTAGTGCCAGGGTTAGGGTCAGGGTTCAGGATTAGGGCCATAGGACTAAAATTAGGCTTAAGATTGTTATTATAAGTAGGAGGCTTAAGATTTGTATTACGTTAGGGTTTCCGCTTTATAGTCTATTAGTCCGGGTCCATCAGCCAGTCACTCATTCGCGCTGTTCCGCAAGTGGAGTGCTGCATTCTATCGCCATGCTTCCCCTGCGCTGACCTCACGACGTCTCACCTCAGCCCCGGCGGAGGCGCCGGCTACGCTGCGACATCACGGGGTAATTGTCACTGCACTGGACGCGGGGCCCAGGCGGATGTCCCCAAGTGCCTCTGGGTCCTCTTCGCGGTCTGCCGGCGTCTCGCAGAAGCGCAAACCGAGTGGAGAAAAGATTCAACGTTGTGCTGCGTGGCGTGGCGCGTTGTCTTCGAGGGGGGGGGGGGTGCTGCTTGTTATTTAACGTGGTGGCTGCTGTTAGTTTCCTGCTTGCACCATTTATTTAGCAATTTTTAAACCTTCTCCCCCCGCCGGCCTCCATGTAGCCCCCCTTTCCCCCCCCCCCAAAAAAAGAGGCAGTTGTTCTTTGGACACCGCTGCAGCACAAAGTTCCCACACTCGTCGGCACAATACGCACTGCAGAATCAACGCAGCGTCACCCACCGTGGAAGGCCACCGCGTGGATATTCCCGCTTGCGCCGAAACGGCTCTCTCCCCAATGCCTTTTCGGGTCGTTTCCGCGTGTCGCTCAACCGCCAATGTCCGGACGTTTCGTTCCGCACGCTGAGGGAGTTTCCTCGGCGACTCGGGGGAGAGAAAGTCCCTGCAGCGACCACCGAGAGCGAAATTCGGCTCCGGTAACGCGCAGGCAGGCGAAACGTCGGGGCATCGTGCGCCGAGCAGTGCGATCCGGCGACGCTCCCGAGGGCTAAGCCACCGTGAACCACGATTCGGCGGCAACACGACAACATTAAGGCTGTCCGCCTGACCCTATTCTACACTTTTTTCTTTCGTGTGGCTGATGTAGATGCAGAGCACAACACATTCTCCCTTAAAAAGCCTGCAGGTGGCCCCGGAGGGTCTCGGGAGTTTCCGAGTGGACGCAGATTACAAAAGCCAGTCCTTGAGTAATATCTCGGGGTCCAACCTTTCCCACTTTCGCCAATCTTTTCCATCGAAGTGAAAACCAAAGCCGCTGCTCGTGACGCGCACACCCGGTTGAACCTGGCAAAAGCGATCCGACTGGAATTTGAGAAACTCCCGACTTGACAAATGAGCGAATGAACGTTCCCTACTTTGAAATGCAACGGCGGCTCAACGCTGTTGCTCAGCAGACTTGGGTTTTTTCTGGAGTTCGCCATCCTTTGGGCCCCGTCAACGAAGGCCCCCAAAATCCCCTGATGACAGCATCCAAAGAAAAGTACTAGAAGTCGTCACCATAATAATGAAGCCGAGGAAATGAATCTTAAAACACTATATACACGTACGTGTGCCAAAGACAAGTGGCAAGCAGTCCTCGGGGGGGGTTTGTACGTACGCACGATGAACTTCCTTGCGCACCGTGTGTAGCCAACCGTGCTCATCGGAGGCGCGGGGGAAGGACACCAAACTAAAACACGAAAAGCTGTGCCTAAATCAATGAGTTTCCAATGTAGATTTATAATGCGGTTAGGAGTGGCTGTACGTGGACGTTGAATCAACAGGGTGACCGCCGTAGACTTTCCACAAACTGGAAGGGCCCTTCCTTGTCTTGCCTCCTCACCACCACCGGATAATAATGGGCCAAGTTACTCCCCCCCAACTTGGGAATTTTATTTGCCAACAATTATCCAGAAACAAATGTATGTATATGTATGTTGAACTTCTTTCGCACCGTACGTAGCCGACCGTTCTAATCTGAGGTGTCGGAGGTATGGGGCTGACTGTAACAATGCGAGCGAAGTGCGGTGCAGTGGTTAGCGAGTTCAATTCCCGGCCACAGCTAACATCGGCGGCAAGCAGTTCGTGTTTAGTTTGGCACCACATGGGTTGCCACGGGGATGGGGGGAAGAAGGCAATCAATCGCAGCGGTAATGGCGCCGTCCGAATCCGACGGCACCCAGGAACAACCTCCGGCAGGGCAAGTTCCCGCGAGTTCCATGGCTCTATGAGTGCGGAGAGTCCTGCCCCGTGGCGGGAGGGCCCCGGCCGTGCAGGCCGAAGCCTCCTCCGCGGCACAGTGGTTCATTTAGTCCGCATTTCAGTCTCTTCCATATTCGTATATCGATGACAATCTTGTGGAACGTTAGCCGAGTCGTTGGCCCGTGGATTTAGAGCTTCGGCGTTAAACACCGACTAAAGTCAACGGCGTACACCGTGTCTGAATTGTGTCAGCATTTAAAAAATACAAATTTTCGTGCCTAAATTAAATCCACAAATTCGAAACGTGCCTCGAATTCCACAGCTTGTCGCCAAAATACGAAGGCGCTGACGAAATGAACCCCCGCTGCATGGAGGCGCGGAGGAGGGCACCGTCCGCCGAAAACTCTGCACTCACTCGCCTCCAAGCCCTCTCCTCCCCCCTGCCCCCCTCCCCTCAGCTCACCCAGGAGGAATTATTTTCCCTTTTACCCGAGCTCCACTTGTCTGTCCGGCACCGACCATTAGGGCCACTGAGTTGCATCACTTATTAGGGGCGACTGCAGAATGGAGCGGCGGATTCCGTCGCAAAGAGCTCCAAACCTGCGCCTCCTCCAACCCCCCCCCACCCACCGCCGTTTTTTAGCCTTTGACGAGGGCGGACGCTCGAGGGAGACGGGTGCCGTCTGCTGCTCCAGGATCGACCGTGAGCTACGACCCTGTACCAAGCGTGGTGGACAGGCCAGGCGCGGGTTAAAAAAGAAACCAGCACCGGTCAAAGTCAGCTGCCAGGTGCGGGTCTTGTCCCGTGGGCTGCCCACGGGGCGGCACCGCGGGCGATGTCACGCCTCTTGTAGGCCCATGCGGGCCACCTTGGCCGAGAGGAATGAGTAGAGGATGAACACCAGGGGCTTGGGGCAGGCCTTGAGGTCTATGCGCTGCGGTGTTGCACGCACGGGGAGAGACAGAAGGGAGACGAGCGGAGAGAGAGAGAGAAACGGAGAGTTGGCACGCCATGAATGAGCGGTGGGTGCGGTAAGTTCACTCATCCGCATCTGATGTCAAATTCCTCGGATTGTTCTTTCACCCCAACACGAGATTATTATTTTGTTGCACCCAGTGACGCGTGAACACCTTAATTGGCTTCCGGTTTCACGGCGTGTAAATTATAAGGTCTGTCTGACCGTATACAATTGCCGATACTGTACATGGCATGGCATCACCGTTATTTTTCAGATTTACGCGCGCCCATCGCCAACGATCGGCAACACCTTCGGTCTGGTGATCTCATCGTTGTTGTTATACGAGAAGCGGTATAAAATTAATGTAATGAACACAGCGTGACCAGAGAGCAGTGCTCGTTGGACATGCACATTAGGATGACGGATGCGTTTCTTAAACGACTCTTTACATGACTACGTCCAGTGGCATAGCTGTTGCGTGCAAGCAGGAGGCTACAACTGCACCAGCACCATCAAGAGGGGCTCTCTCAGAGCTTCCTGTGCTCGGAGGCCTATTCCGCCAGCAGGGCCGTGAGCAAGGCAATTGCAGGGGCTGCACCTTAACTTTTTATTACACATTCAACAGTGCTGTTTGTCGCTTCACGTGTGGCCCTTTTGGGCCTGAAGGGCCAGCACTCGGAGAACGTTTTAAATATATCTATTGTTTATTACAAAAACATTGAAAGAAGGACATCAAACGCCTCCGGCCTCCCCTGGTTGAAACCACCGAAGTCAAGGCACAGCGTGGAAGAGTAGGCCAAATACCCTCCACAGAGGGGGCTCTCGAGAGCGCCCGCCGGTGGAGACCCATCGGCCAGCGGCGGCGTGAGCAAGGCACTTGCAGGGGCTGCACCTTGACCTGAACGTTTCATTACAACTCTTGACAGTGCCGTTTGTTGCCGACCGCTTGGCATATTGGGGGGGGGAGGGCTCTCTCGGGCCTCCGCGTAGCAACAGCGAAATAAAAAAAAAATCTAACTATAAACTAAATCTAAACTATGTTTATTTTACCAGGCCCATCGAGCTATGTAGCGTTTTTTCCTAAGCGACCTGGCCACAAATGATAGCCCAACGAAGTGGCTTATCACGTGGAAATGTGTAGCAGCCGAATACTCTTAACACGTGACGTTGATGCTAAATGTGGAGGGGAAAAACCGGAGGGTCCGGAGAAAAATCCACGCGACCACGGGGAAGAGAGACACGCAAACTCCAAATACACAACACGACCTCCTGTATACTGGACGAGCCAGCTAACATCTCCGAGCCACCGCGGCGCCCAAAGTACGTACCACCTCCCCCTCGTGGCCGCCGAAGTCGAGGCACAGCGTGGAGACGCCGTCGTCCGTGGAGCGGCGCAGGCGGTCGAACGGGTAGCTGAGCAGCACGGCCGGCGTGGCCCCCGGGGCCGCCCCGGGGCCCGGGTCCATGGCCAGGGTGAAGCCGCTCTCGTAGTGCACCGTGAGTCGGCACTCGGTGCCCTTCCACACGCACGCTGCGCCGGGACGCGACGCAAGGACGGCGACAGTGACGAAAACACAAAGTGACGGGGCCGATTATAGCAAAATCTCGATTATTATTATATAATGGGTTTCGAGTCATAGTTATTGAGCAAAAGGTGATCACAAATTCACTTAATTCACTCCTGCTACTCACTCACTGGCGGTCAATCACCTTTAGCAGCATGTTTTACCTGCAACCCGAATAATCCGCTCATGGACAACAGAGATTTTGACCACCGTGGTTTTCTTACGAGGGGCCTTGGGCAGCGCACGTCTCTAGGGAGGACGATGGCTGGTGGCAGAGACTAGCGACGGAAGAGCAGCCCAAGGAGTGGAACGCACCGTGGAGTTACATCAAGTGTTGCGTCTTGGGGAGACCTTCATCCAACAGTGGACTGAGCTTAGCTGCTGCTGCTGCTGATGGTATATGACCATTGTACAAGTCAGGGTTTCCCAAACTCTTACTCACAACGGTTCACCTGTCCATGCATACCACCAAAACTTTCCCGTTCAAGGGCAACATTCGTTGTCACAAGCTGCGCGTGCCCGATGATTGCTAAACGACAGCTCCGACATGATGTGGAGAGCACCGATTACAATTAACAGCGCTCCCAGCATCACATGGGACGGACACGCAAGCGCACACACTCAAGATCGCTATCTTAATTTGAGTCATCGTTCTCTACATCATAGGAGGCATACGTTTATACAAACGCACGTGTGCGCGAAATCTCCATCTTAATTTGAGTAATTTTCCCCCTCTCTACATTACATGGAACACGCACGCACACTCGAGGTCTCCAAGCCGACTCTACTTCATGTGGCGGACACACGTACAACGGCGAAATATTGTAAATGTTGTAGCTTGGCTCTCCAACACGCCGGTGTGCTGTACTAGTAACGAATTTGTATGTTCTGTTTACGTGACAAACCTTACTAACTGGCTGTGTCGATTCGGGTGGTGGCGGGTTTAGCGACACATTTATATATATTACGCGACCGAACTAAAAAAAAACCTCTTATCAAAGACAAAGGCCCTCCGCATAGCCGTTTGGCAGCTTCGGTGACAGCCGGCATGGCACGCGAACTGGGTGGCGTGGCGAGCAACCACGCGGGGGCCCCCTTTGCCTCCCCAGGGGAGAGACCCAGCACCGCTTCGGATAATTCTCACACGGTATTGGCCGCGAGCGGGAATTGAACTCGGGTTGCTGGGTTTCCAGCACTGTGGGACGAACCACTGCACCACCCCCGCTCCCCCACACACGCGCGCCTACGTGCACACACAATCTCAAAATTGAATCGGCATTCTCGACTTTACATGGGGCACACACGCACATAGGCGCGCACACACACACGCACACACACGCACACACACACACGCGAGATCTCTATCAATTTTTGTTGTAGATGTTCAATTTTTGTTGTAGACTGGTGATCGCGAAGAGGTGGCATTGTGGTGAGCCACGAGGAATGGCCTTTCGGCGAAACGCGCCGGGATTGACGTAGCGCAACCGAGGGACGTGCGACGACACACCTTGCTCGTCACGAGAACGGAAAACAAATTTTTTAAAAATATCGTCGACTTATACTCCACGGCGTGGGCGGCGGCGGCGGCGGCGCGCCACTCGCTCGCTCTGGTCGCCCTCGCAGCAGCAGCGGCGGTTTTTTGGCCGGCCACCGAACAAAGACGGTCGCCGCTTCGGGCGCTCTCAGGTGCGCTTCTGCGGACGTCTGCGAGCGATGAGGACGACTATTTACATAAAAAAAAATATTTTTTGACCAGGTGAGGGCCCACTGAGCTACACGGCTCTTTTTCACAAGCGACCTGGCCAAAAGAACGGCAGCTCAACGAAGCGGCTCGTCATTGCGTGGAAATTTAGAGCAGCCAAACGCTCTCAACGCGCGATGTTGATTCTCAATGCGAAGGGAAAAACCGGAGCACCCGTAGAAAAACCCACACGACCACGGGGAGAACACGCAAACTACAAAAGTTACAGGTGCCGGAGTCAGAAATTGAACCCACGACTCCCTGCATACCAGGTGAGGTAGTTAACATCGCGCCGCCGCGGCGCGGCGTGCCCCCCGTGAACTGAAAAAAAAGAAAAATATCGCGACGAACGCGGCCGCCGCTCACCGACGGTGGCCTCGCGCATGAGCGCGGCGGCGCCGTGGCAGCCGTCGACGAAGAGGCGGCCCCAGTGCGCGAGGTCGCGCTGCGTCTCGACGCGCAGGACGTGCGTGACCACGCCGTGCGGGGTCCCCGAGCGCAGCACCAGGCACAGCTCGGCGCCGGGCTGCGTTGGAGCGTCGCGGGGAATGCCACCCTGCACCAGCCTGGGAGCGTACGTACGGATGTATGGATGTGCGTCGAAAAGAGTGGCGAGCCAACGTGACGCGTCACCGCGCGCAGAGCGACGGGCAGCGCCGCAGCACGCACCACCGTAGCACGGACTTTTGTCGAGCTATCGAACGAAAGACGGTCACCGCATCGCGCGCTTTCAGGTGCGCTTCTGCGGCCGTCTGGAAAGCTCCACCGCTCCGATATTAGGAAGCCACTGCAGCTGTGGACTTTTAAGTAATCGAGATTGAAAACCCATTTCGTGAGAACCGTCTTGCGTGTTTAAGTTTGTTGTCCTTCCCCCGCACTTCTGATTAGCACGGTTGGCCACGTAGGGTGCGAAAGAAGTACAACATGCATGCATATATTCGAAGCCATGCACACACAATTAAATCGTAGCAAAATTTGTCTTAGCCCTGTTTTTTACTGATACTGCTTTAAAGTATAAACATGTATATATATTCTTTGGGTCTTTCGGTAAAGCCACATTGATAGAACAAATAATAAAAATAATAACAATATGATATTGTTATTATTTTTATTATTTTTATTATTTGTTCTATCTACGTGGCTTTACCAAAAGACCCAAAGAATATGAATTCCTGCAGTCACGAATGCTTTAAGTCAAGATGTTTATATACGTATAATGATTCCGGCAAAATGCAGGAGTAATGATACTTGTCGTGGTAGTCACTGGGGTGGTTGTTGTGATAGTAATACGAGTAGCGATCGTCCTGCTTATGACGTTTGTAACAATGATAGACGTGGTGGTAATGATCGTCTCGGTCGTGGCGGTACCAACGACAGCGGTGATCACGGTGGAGTTGGTCGTTGGCGGCGGTGGCATTGGTAGCGGCATTGCCAGTGCTCACCGCGTGGCGAGCAGCGGGTAAGTGCGGTAGGGCGCCTGCCAGCCCTCGCGCGCCGTGGGCAGCGCGTGGTACAGGAGCATGTCCGTGTCCGTCAGCGCCACCAGCGTCGGACGCCACGTCAGCCGCCCCGTCTCCCCCGTGATCTTGCGTAGGGAGTTTGGGGTCGGGGGTCGGGGGTCACGGGGTCAGGACAGGGCTCAGAGCACGAGGGGGGTGTGACGTGTGTACGCGGAACTTCTTTCGCACCGTACGTAGCCGACCGTGCCGATCGGAGGTGCGGGGGAAGGGCAGCAAACTAAACACAAAAAAGCAGGTGGTAAAGAAATGAGTTTGCGTACGGTGCGAGGGCCTAGAAGGGTCGTTCGTGAGCTACTTGAGCCGACGCGAGCGCGACCATTCCCAGTTCGATCCCGAACAACGAACCAGCTCCTCCTAGATTCATGTCCCCGGGGGCCTGAGCGTCTATCTCTCCTCGTACACACATGCAGCCGTCAGCGTCAATCTCCGCTGCTAGATGACAGGCCTCCCCACGCCGGCCGCGCGGGTCTTGGGAGTTGTTCACCAGCACTTCAAACACGCCGGTAAGATTGTGCGGTTAACTTGGCCAATCGCATCTCTCTCGTACAGATCTAGCAAACAATTGGTTTGGTAGACCTGTACGCAAACTCACCGGTGGAGCGGATGCGCGGTGGTTAGCGCGCTGCATCGTAAACTTGGAAACCCGAGTTAAATTCTGGGCTATGGCGAATGATGTTTGAACTATTCATCAATATGTTCTGACCACCGTGGCGATGTATGGTGGGCAGCTCGTGGGTGATGGAGCGTGGGGAGGTCTTCATCCAGCAGTGGACTAAGAAAGGATATCAATAATAATTATCGTATTCTCTAGATTATAATGCGCACATGTTTGAGTGTGGGCCAGATTCGCATAACTTAATTCATACCGGGCACAAGTCTGGGGTGCAGTCTTGCTGAGACTCAACTAAAACGAAACTATTTTATATTTTACCAGGTAAAGCCCACCAAACTATATAGTTATTTTTCAGAAGCGACCTGGCTGCCACAAATGACAGCTCAATGAAGTGGGTATCGCATGGGAATATATAGCAGCCAAATACTCAAAACGCACGTCGATTCTATATGTGGAATGAAAATCCGGAGGACCCGGAGAAAAAAAAAACCCAAAAGCGACTACGGGGAGAGAGAACATGCAAACTCCAATTATATAAACGCCAGGCTCAAACCCACGACCTCCTGTATACCAGTCCAGGTAGTTAACATCTTGCCACCGTGGTGCCTTAGAATTCGCAGAATATGGTAAACACACAACCACAGGAGAGACTGAACAACTAACAGAGCTGCACAGAGCTCGCTCACTCTCCCACCCCCACCAGCCATGTGGTCCGGGCCTCCTGATATAATCTGTGTTTACATTCCCATGCGAGGAGGCTATACGGCTGCGGAGGCGGCGGCAAGCACCGGACATATTTCTGGAAGTGGGGGAACAATAACAAAAAACACGGGAGGAGTAGTGGAGGGAAAGACCCGCATGGCAGAAATAAAAAAAAAACCTCTAGCACAATGAGCAACAACGGATAGGAGGAGGAGGAGGCGGCAGCGGCGGTGGTGTGTTATTTGCTTTAGGATACTTGTAGTTCGTTTAAAAAATAACATTATTTTAGTGGACAGCCCCTTTTTGTCAGCCCACCACTTCGTTTGGAAGACCGCCCCGCCTCCCCGCCCCCCCCCCATACCGTGACGGTCATGGGGGTTTGTTTGACCGTACTTCACCGCACTGGTGAGTGAGTGCCACGGGTTGGTGAAGAAAAGGTAGGGGATGGGGGGAGGGGGGGGAGTTCAGGACCAATTCAGAGCTCACTCGTCAACAAACGTCGGCCGTGGCCTGGGAACTGGGCTTAACTGACCAAAATAAATAAAAAGGGTGGTTCAGATAGCAATCTAGAAACTTCCCATCAAAGCGAGGGCGGTCCTGAAATTGCAACCACCTTAAATAGGGGCCCATACATGAATTATCAAAAACCTTATCTGGTAGATACCCATATAACAAAAAATATACTTTTCACGTGCCAGGTGACCAATGGACTCGGGAGACACGCCACAATACAATTTCAGCTCAAGCAGCGGCTTTAGCCGTGTGGCGGTGGTGGTGGCGGCTCCGCTGCACGTGGCTGCCTGTAATGCAGAACTGTGGCGGTAGCAGCGAGAGGTTGGTGAAACTCCCCTTTCCCGTGGGCGTTGAGGAGGTGACCGCACCCTGGCTCGCCCGGAGAAGGCGGCACAGCAAAGTGCGGGCTCTCATCTGTCCCGTCTGTGCGGGATAGAGCGTTGCCCCCTCGCACGCGTTTTCCCCGCGCGTGTGGGGGTTTCTCCGGTTGCTCCGGTGTTCCTCAGAAATGTGGAAATACCCGTTAATTGGCCTGAAAACATTGCCATATGTAGAGGACTGCAGAGTCTGGGCATTTGTTGGTAGTGGTGGCTCACCGCCCAGCTGCTGCCATCCAGCTTGCCTTTTGAACTTCAGCCATTGGCATATACAGGGTGCTTCAAAACAATGTTAGCACTTAAGTGGGACTATCGTTTTTAATGGCAAAAGAACGGATAATACATTGTAACGTGATAACAAATGTAATGTCAATAGCTTCAAAGAGTCTCCCACTTGTTCGCCATCGTCGTCAACGCGTGGCCTGGAACCTTCTCCAGGTGGCCTCCAGAGCCCGGGGGCAGCAGCACATGTCACGTGGTGCTGCTGCACGTTTGCTCCCGCAACACGCTTCACGAAACTTCGGCTACAAATCGAACGTCGACGGCAAAAAGCAATTCGACGAATCGAGCGAAAACGTTGCCCCCGCCCCCCCCCAAGAAAAAAAAACGTCTCGGGCCGCAGCCAACCGCAGCACACCGGCAAACGAACAAACAAATGCCCTCCTCCCAATCCCGTCTCGTCGCGCCCCCTTCCCTACCCCCCTCCCACCTGCTCGGCGAGCCAGCCCAGGTTGGCGAGCGCTCGCGAGTGCAGCAGCCCGCCGTGCTGCAGGGGCCCCTCGTTTGCCTCGGCCACGGCCGCCGGCACCAGCGCCGCCGTGGCGGCCCGCAGCGCCGAGAACCAGGAGCTCGCCGACGCCGCGTCCCTCGCGCGGAGCACCAGGCAGCGCGACACGTCCGGAGAGTGAACCTCAATCAGCCTGCGTACATGGGGGCGGTGGGGGGGGTGGGGGGGTAGAGAAGGGCAGCACAACATCCTCAATCAGCCTGCCGAGGGGGGGGGGGGGGCAGCACAACGCATCCGGCGAATGAGCTTCGATCAAAGATTATCCACAGCGGTTTTTGAAGGCTTCAGAATCAATATTAATCCACGCCAGTGTTGGCGTCGTGGTCATCGCGCACTGCACTCGCCCGGTGTCTATTTCCCGGCGTGGCGGTTGAAAGCAGTGGGGCGAGTTTTCGTAAAACCTCCGGTCTATGGGCAGGTCGGGGGTGTGGTGGGGATGAAGTCTGTGGGTTCAGGTTAAATTTGTATTCGTTTAACCTCGTGACAATTACCAGATCTCATTGCCAAAGTGACCCCGGGTCGCCGAAATGACAAAAGCGATGAAATAAAATGAAGGTGAGCAATGAGGCAAATAAGAATTCGGAGCTACAGAAGTAAAAAAAAAACGAACGCCACCTTACACCCACCACCACTCCTGGCCATTGCGGGAAAGTAAACCCAAAGATCACTTGACGAAGGACCTACTTCGAGCAGGCCTTTCCACCAGCAGTGGAGTGAGCAAGCTGCACATTTTGACTCTCTACCCCTATGGCCCCAGGCAGCCTCTTGTCACGTGAATGTGGTAGGTGAGGTTCGGGGGGGGGGGGGGGTAGGCGGGGGGGGGGTGCGGTGCTGAATAATTATCGCACAGCATTCTAGTAAAAGAGGACGGGCACTGGAAGCGGTTGCGAGCGTCCCAGCAGGGTATTCGAGCGTCAGAGAAACGGAGCCCTCACTGGCGTCGGTGCACGACCCCGCGCGCGCGCCGGCACGACAACGCGACGCCTGCAGCTGACAACACAACAATGCCCAACGTCACTGCCGCCGCCGTCAACGTCGTCGTCGTCATTGCCGCCGTCAGCGGCACACCCCCCCGGCGACGTCCCGACATCGGCGTGCGAATGGCCCGGGTGCCGTCGACGCGTTCGAACGTTCGCACCGTAGCCGTCAAACGCGACCCCCCCACACCGTGGACATTCGACCGCTGTGGCCAGTGCCGGATTAAGCTAATGCGGGGGCCTGTAGCATATGTTATGAAGGGGCCCTAAATAAAAATAAAAATAAAACACGTAAATATTCACATTTTTAACATGCATAGTAAAGTAATTGTATGTTTTCATTTGCTATACAGCCAGATAATATGACAAATCGTAAAAGTTGAAGGCGGTATAGTACTATAGTAATACAGCAAGTGCAGAATCACTGAACCAGAATCGATAGCTTGAAAGCATTTAGCGCGGGGCCCTTGAAAGTACGGGGCCCGTAGCTACATGTATAGCTACTTTTACGACTAGGATAATCCAATTAAAGCTTTTGTGACTGCAAGGATTCATCTTCTTTGGTTCTTTCGGTAAAGTCACGTAGAATGAGAATAAAATAATAAATTAATAAAATAAAATTACACAATAAAATTCTCACGACGTTTTGGCCACAACACAAGTGGCCTTCATCAGGTGAATGGACCAGACTGTCTAGAGGACAGCGCTGGAGCAAACACAGCCAAGCTCAGACCGTGACCTTTAAGCTGTGTGAGAAGAAACAGAGTGCCTTGACAAAGGAATTAGCATAACAATTAGCATTTAATTGGCGGACTTAGCATGATGAACGGTGTAGAGGGGGTGAACACCATGCTAAGTCAGCCAATTAAATGCTAATTGTTATGCTAATTCCTTTGTCAAGGCGCTCTGTTTCTTCTCACACAGCTTAAAGGTCGCGGTCTGAGCTTGGCTTTGTTCGCTCCAGCGCTGTCCTCCAGACAGTCTGGTCCATTCACCTGATGAAGGCCACTTGTGTTGTGGCCGAAACGTCGTGAGAATTTTATTGTGCTATTTTATTTTATCAATTTATTATTTTATTCTCATTCTACGTGACTTTACCGAAAGAACCAAAGAAGATAGGATAATCCAGCACTGGCCATGGCCTACTTGTAGGGTGTGTGCAGCGGCAGTCCGGAGTGCTCCTCCGGAGAGGAGTCTTGGCCCCACGCAACGTCCATATCGACCTCGTTTTGTGCCCCGTCAAACTGCGTCTATTCACCCGACATTTGTAAACCTATTCGCGGGATTGTGCGAAAGCACGGTACAATAAAATAGGATTTCACCTTGTGGACAGGCGTACCTTGTAATGTAGTGGCAGTGCCTTACGCTGATTAATCTCCTACTTCCAAGTCAGTTTAGCGGGGTTCGGGGAAAATATCGAATGTGAAGCCAGAGTGATGTATATCTGTGCGTGTCGGGCCCCCCCCCCCCTTCTGTCAATCCACTGCTGGATGAGGGCCTCCCCGTGCGTGGCACGGGGGCTATTTGGCTGTACTTCTCCACGCTGGTCAGTGCGCGGAAGTGAGCATATCCATGGGGAGCACAGAAGCCATGCACAACAACGGATGTTGCCGCTCCGCCCTCGACTTCCTCCAACACAACCCGCGTCACGAGGGAAGTTGGCCAGGCCAAGCGCTATCCAGGCTCGAACCTGCTGAGCTTCCGAGATGCAACAGGGTCGGGCGCATGCCGGGCGATTTGGCGACGCATATTTCATCTGGGGCTCGCTCAGCTGCCACAAATAAACGAGCACTACCGCTACACCCCCCTTCACACTGTAATCATTTCCTTTTTCTTTCCCCTCCCGGCCGGCATTCTTTTCTTTCCAATCAAAGGGCTTTCATTAGCGGTTGGCTCCGATTCACCGCTGCCCCCCCCCCATCCCACTTTGCTCTTCAGTATCCGAGCACTAATAATATCCCCCGGGCGGGCGCGACGCGTCACGCTTTGTAGTGCGCCATCTCAACCGCGTGCGCACGAGTGCTTGCGTGCACGTGGGTATGCGCGGGTGTGCATGCGCACGCGTGGGTGTTCACGCATGCGCGTGCACGTGCGCGTGCATGCGTATGCACGCGGCGGTGCACCGGTGCAGCGGTTGGCGCGCCGCACTACGAACCCAGGCCAGCCGAGTTCAATTCCCGCTCACGACCGATAACGGTGGCAAATACGTGAACCGGTTTTGAGACTATCCCCCTAGGTCAACTCGGCCTTAATTGAGTACCCGGTGTGGTCTGTAGACATCAGCAATGGGAAGATAAAGGCGGCCGGGAGTGGTGTTGGCCACCTACCCCTTCGTACGCTGTTCCGACCTCAATAGGTACTCGCCAACAGTACTTGCCCCAACAGTCTGTGTAAGCTACATGGGAGATCTTTGTCTTTGTTACGTGTGTATAGGTAAGTGCAGGCTTAAAGGCCATGCCACCCCCTTGCGCTGCTTGGCCGCCCTTAAGAGGCGCTTCAAGGAGTGTAAAAGGCTGATTGATGTTATTTATTTACTAAACAATCCATAACATCACCAGGTCAGTGTGTGCCACTGTCGAGAATGGAAATCCTGTACGATTCCAAACAAACGCCGACCGAAGAAACTGACGATCAAGCCTGCGACGCCGGGCTCAAGATAAACGAGTGCCACGGTGGCGAGAATGTTAACTACATCGCCTGGTATACAGGAGGTCTTGGGTTCAATCCCGACCTTGATGCCTGTATATTTAGAGTTTACGTGTCTCTCTCTCCCCGCGGTCGCGGAGATTTTTTCTCCGGATCCTCCGGTTTTTCCTTCTACATTTAGAATCAACGTTACGCATTTAGAGTACTTGGCCGCTGTAAATGTCCACACTATGATAAGCCATCTCGTTGAGCTATCATTTCGTCAGGTCGCGCCTGAAACAGAGCTATGTGGCTCAGTGGGGCCTTGCCTGGAATAATAAAATTGTTTAGTTTTCAGTTTAGATTAGAACCGAGGTCGGTGGGGTTCAGAGGGCAGTGCACGGACCGCTCCACTCTCACGAGGTAGCGTTTATTTTTTTGACCCTGGATGGTGAGATTCAGAGACCCAAAGAAAACCTGTATTATGGAGTCGTTGTGCTTCCGAAAAACGTTAATTTTAACTTGCGGCCTTGCCATCACGAGCCGCGAGCTCTAATCCGCTGTGGCAGTGAGCTCGATAAGAGTATCACACAGCCCCACGCAAACAGAGGAAGTAGTTTATAATAAATAAATATTCTGACTTGACTTTACTTTGAAGGGAATGCACTCGGTCGCAAACGACACCATGAGGCATAAAGACCGATCGCCCCACTGCCCACAATTCAGATTCAATTCACGAATGGATTACTCTTTGACACCATTTGTTCCGTCTCCGCTCGTGTAGCCTCTGAACGTTCTCGTTAATTGGACGCCGCCTGAATGAATGTAATAATTTCTTGACACAATTATTTCAGGCCCCTCCCCCGCCAAGCATTGTGTACGACCGCGGCCCTCCGACGCGTCGTCAGGTCGTGCCGCGCGTCGTTCGTCGCCAAGTGCGAGCGCGAGACGTTAACCACCTCGCCTGGTATACAGGAGGTCGTGGGTTCGATCCCGACCTTTAACGCCTGCATATTTGGAGGTTTGCGTGTTCTCTCACGCCATGGTCGCGTGGATTTTTCTCCGGGTCTTCTCCGGTTCGAGAGTACTTTCAGGCTGCTATACATTTCCACGTGACAAGCCACTTCCATTGGGCTATCATCTGTGGTAGTCAGGTCGCTTCTGAAAAAGAGCTACATTTCCCAGTGGGGACTTACACCCGGTAAAATAAAAAATAGTTTAGTTTAAATGTCCGACGTTTCGCTCCATGTGCCAGGGAAGAAGCAACCCCCCCCCCCCACTCCCCCGAAAGAAAATTCTCTCCCATCCCCCCCCCTGCCCGCCCGACCAACGCTTGACTCAGCGAGCGAAACACAACGCCGCGTGCCTCCGCCCCACCTGTTCTCCAGGTCGGACATGCTGAGGTTGCGCGCAATGTAGCACATGCGCAGCGCGATGACGCGCCGCTCGCCGCCGTTGTGGCGCTGGCCCCCAAGCGAGCCCGGCGAGCCCGGCGGCGTTCCCGGCGTCGTTCCGGGGCGGAGGTCGACGCGCGCTTGCCGAGGCGGCGACGGCACATCGCCGTCGGCCCAGTCCACGTCGGAGAGCGGCGACGCCTTGTGGAAGAAGGCGGAGAACTCGCGCATGTACTGGACTGCAGCCGCACGCGGGGGGGGGGTAGGGGGCGGGGGGGGTCAGCAGGGTCAGCATCGGGGGTACAAGACGGGCACCGCGCATCGCGCGCTTTCACATGCGCTTCTGCGGCCATCTTCACCGCTCTTCGTTCCGATATTGAGGGAGCCACTAGAGCTGTGCACTTTTAAATCACCTCAGTTGAAAACTAATTTCTTTAGAGCTGCTTTTTGTGTTTAGCTTGCTCTGCTCCCCCCGCACCCCCGATTAGCACCGTTGGCTACAGGCGGTGCATACATGCATACGTAAAGATAGTGGCGATGATGATGGCTTGTGTAAGTTACCGCGTGGGATGGACATCGTCCTGTCACAAGTGCACAGCAGGCCCGTGTCTTCTGTGCCAATGACACGCGTTAACTCGATGGGCTCTTACCTGGCTCACCAACTTACACTGCTCACCTATCTACATCCACAGGTGCTTGATTGCCTGCCTCTCCACAACATCATTAGCAGGATTATGAAACGATGAGCATTTTAAAATCACGACTCTTGAGGTCGCCTAATTTGTGGCACTGCAGGATCACTCGCGCTGTTATCCGAGCAGCGGAGCAGAGCGGAGGGAGGAAAATGCGGCACGTGGTTATGTGTCAAACGCAGAGCCTTTCCGCTCATCCAAGACCCTTGCCATGTTTTCGCGGGGACACGGTCCCTGTGAAATGCTGCCAAGCGCCCTGCAGAGCCCACGTTTCCCAGCGTCACGTTATTCCTTTGAAGAGACGCGGTTTCCTCTAAGCCCGTTTAATCAACCACAAATAATATCCGTCCATTGAAATCACGGAGTTCCATTGTATGTTCTGCCTCCGCTATCAACGAGGTCCTCCCTCCCCCCGCCCCCGGTTTTCCACTCGGCCCTAACTGCACAAACCGCAAAGGGCTTTTTTATTCTTTTATATCCCAGCTCTGTAATCGATCGTGGGGCCTTGCCCACATTCTGTCAATGTGTCAGCGGCGTAGTCTTTCAAAAAGGATATTTTTTTAAAGTGAGTTACGGGATATTGTATTATTATTATTATTATTTGCCTTTAGTGGCCAGCGTGGAGGAGTAGGCCAAGTACCCTCTTAGATGGACTCTCCAGAGCTCCCTCGAGTGGGGGGCGTTTCTGCCAGCAGTGGCAAGAGCGAGCAACCGCGGGCTGCACCTTGACTTTTATGTTCACCACTCAAAGCATTCAAGAAAGAAAGTTCCGTAGGCTTAGGTTTTCAAAAATGTACTACTATGTTTACCCAAGAATGTCAGTGTGTGACGCGCGTGACGTCACTCCACGTCGCTTAGCCCCCCTCATTAATAATCATGAACAGGTGACGTCCTCCACATGGACCCCCCCCCTTATTAATAGTGATGAGTAGGTGACGTCACTCCACAGCGAACAGCCCCCTCATTAATAATCATGAACAGGTGACGTCCTCCAAATGGACCCCCCCCTCCATTAATAATAATTAGCGGGTGACGTCACTTCACATGGGTGGGCGAGGCGCCTCCTCCCCCCCCCCTCCTCAGCGTCAACTCGCAACCCTCACTACAAAGGCAGAACCCTCACGTCACGCGATCTCCGTAACGCTGTTGAGACACCGAAGTAAAAAGGACGTCATGATGAACAAGGGATTATAACCATTAAATTAAATAAGTCTGTTACCGCGGCTTTACAAACTGCACACAAATCGATGCAATGAACATCACGTCGCAGTCTGCTTTTCGCTTGCAAGTTTCAGATTTACTGCAACACACTCGTCCTTGGATGGGCAAAAGGCTCGTTATATATAAACCTTTGACCAACCATTTTGGGGAGATCTCAAATAGAAAATGCTGGAATTTGTTTTTTTTATATATACGAGGACATATTTGTACTTATCACCCTTCACAAACTTCCAGGCGCCAAATTTTGTTGGCCTTGGTTCAGAAATGAAAAGTGAAAAGTAAAAGAAAATCCTCAGACGTTTGGAAGGTCAAAAGCTACTTTAGATTTGTGTTTTTTTTTCTACTTATTTTTCAAATGTTCAATCCGTAGACCCCATTGAACATCAGAATTTATATCAGCCGCTCATGACTAATGCACAATGTTTTTTAGAATAAATAAAAAATAAATTCCAGCCATTCTCCATCCACTGCTGGATGAAGGCCTCCCTACACCATGTCAGTCACTGCGGTTTCTTTTCACCACACTTCACCGCACTGGTCAGCGTGGATATATACACGAAACAGTTCAATATTAATATGGGAAGCAGCAATGGTAAGCAGCCTTCTTCATCATCACCTATGAGACAGTTATCTGGAATCCAATCGGAACAGAGCTCTAATACATAAACGGGATTAGGCCCTTGGTGTCAGCTTAGGGCGAACGAAGCTCAGGTTTTTTTCATCCAGTAGGTGTCAAAGAGAGAGGGAACTGTGCGCAAAGAGGGCAGCAGTGGCCATTGCAGCGACGCTGTGTGCCGCCCCCTCTCCCCCCCCCCCCCCCGTGAACATCGGAGCCCCCCTCCCCCCTGAGGCCGCAAATTCTGCGGCTGTGCCGTGAACGTGCCGCCCGATGTACACCAAGCCACTAATGGCCTCCGCAGATCGGTTAAAACGCCGGACATCCGACGCAGCGGGCCGCGCTCCCTTCAGCAAGGGGTTACGCGAAACGCCAATGGCGGAAAATTAAATGGGCTTAGCCGCCGCCTCCACGGCCAAACGACGAGCACACGGGAGTGGCGACGACCCCATGTCCCCGGGCGAGCCCGATCTCGGCAGACCTCGGAAGCCGAGCAGGATTTTTGGAGCCTCGATAGTCAGTGTGCAACGATACAATTTTTTTAGTTTTTACGTGTATATATGTATACACACGTGCGATTGCGATGATGCACACATCGTGAGCTTTAATGCAACGGTGACGCCCTGCCGTAGCTTGCACATGCCACCCCACAACGAGGTCGAGGGAGAGATCGATTCATCGACGGAATCTGTCGGGTCTTCCCACTCCTCCTCCTCCTTCGCATCAGCAGCAGCAGCTCATCTCGGCGATGGCGCCAGTCATCCGGTAAGCTTCGCACGTGACCTCCGCGCCGAAGACGGTCGCAGCGCTTGCCCGTAAATCCGAATGAACAAAAGCGGGAGCACCCGCGGGCCAGCGGCCTGCCACCACGACACCGTTATCTACCCTCCCACGGCTGGCCATCAAACAAAGACGGTCGCTGCATCGCGCGCGCACGTTCAGACGCGCTTCTGAGGCCGTCTGGAACGCTCTTGCCTTCCGATATTAGGAAGCCACTGCAGCTGTGCACTTTTAAATCGTCTAGATTGACCAACTAATTTCTTTAGAACCGCTTTTTGTGCGTTAAGTTTGTAGCCATTCCCCCCGGACCTCCGATTAGCACGGTTGGCTACGTACGGTGCGAAAGAAGCTTAACAGACATACGTACATAAAAAACACACTACTTCAGAGCGTCTCCGCAGCTTGCCCGGTTTCCTCCGTCCCGTCCGCCTTGCTGGCGAGTGTGACCTTTGCTGAGCCTTATTTCTGGATTCGCGCAAAACTTGAACGAGGCGGAAAAGGTCGCGCGCTGCCCGCATGAATAACCCAGGAGGCTTTTTGCCAATCCCCGTGGCCAAAACCAACTACGGTTCCTTATGTTCTGTCTTCTCAGCCAAAAGTGGTTGGCTGCTCACATTTCCTTTTTCCACGTAACTTCCACTCGCATCCAAGGTCCCCGCGTCACGCTTCGCCTCTCGTTCTCTTTTCTGCCCTGCAACCTTCATCACCATCTGCCAAGCCAGAAAGGTGGCTGGATGCTCTGCGACTTATCGTCTTATTGGGGCGTCACAGTGGCGAGATGTCAACTACCTCGCCTGGTATGCAGGAGGTCGTGGGCTCGATCCTGACCCTGACGCCTGTTGTATATTTGGAGTTTGCACATCTCTCTCCCCGTGGTCGCGTGGATTTTTATCCGGGTCCTCACGTTTTCCCCTCCACACTTAGAAACAGGCCTTGAGAGTATTTTGGCTGCGAAACATTTCTACGTGATAAGCCACTTCGTTGAGCTATGATTTGTGGCTAGGTCGCTTCTGATAAAGAGCTATCTAGCTTAGTGGGGGCCTTACCAGGTAAAATAAAAATTGTTAACGGTTCATAGTTTCTGTACCTCTTCGATCGTTACGTCCACTGCCGACATTAATACATTCAATCAACCCTTGCTTTGGCTTCCGTGTGATATATGGGGAGATGGGAAGCGTGAAGGATGAGTTGGCCGTGGGCAACCCCCGGTTCTTGTGGACTCAGCTCCAGTGTGGCCTTGCTTTGGCCGTGGGATCGTAAATGGCGAGCAGCGGAGGAAGACCGAAGTTGTCCTGTTGAGGAACGCTGGAGGGGACGCTGCGGTGGCATCAACATCAACACCGCAAAACCTGACTTCGGACAGCGATCTGGAAGCCAACGTAACAACCAAGGCAATACAACTGTCCAGGCAGCGGGCTTTGTTGCGCGTAGGCGGATTGAGTGGACGGACAAAGCCATCTCGTGCACGCAGCGTGGGCTCGTGAATGGACAGGAAGTGAAGTTCATCGGGGCGGCCGTCCGTGGGGGACGCGATACAAAGAGCGCTCTCAAGATTAGATTGTGCAGCGCTGCATCGCTCGTCTTTAGAAGAAAGAAAAAAAGTACACACATGGGTTAGCGAGTGTTTCCAGGACATCTCATGAATTGTCCCGCACACCCACACCTGCGCTCAGCCTCCACATTTAGCCGTACGTACGTACGCACGCACTTAAAAGAATGCTAAAGATTTCAAAATTATTATAATTATGCATTAATGTTGTGGAGGGGGGGGGGGAGGGAGGCAGGCACCTGTGTATGTAGGCAGGTAAGCAGTGTGAGTGGGTAGGTATGGTACACTTGAGCCAGGTGAGAGCTCATTGAGTCAACGCTTGTCATTGGCACAGAGGACTGCTGTGCACTTGGGACGCACCCAAGCCATCACCATCGTCAC